TCGGTATTGCGACGTGATTTTACAAAGTTAACATCCAGCGCGACCGCGCGGGCCCCTTGCGCGCGCGTGTTGCGCGCACTTGTGTTTGTGACAATTTTTGATTTTTTAAGAGTCCACAGCAACGCGTTGGCCGATGTGCGCGAGCGCGCGCCGTCGCGCGCGCGTGCCGAAATCTTGCCTGGTCCTTGTTTCGCAGGAGTGTCCAAATCGAGTGCCGCGGTTTTGCAGCGCGCGGTTGCGCGAGGAGGTATGTGGCGCTGGAAACGACAGGGCTGTTTTTTATCCGTAGCCATTTTTCCGTTTCTTAGCCGTTTCTTCTATTTTTTTCCGTCGTTGCTTCCAGCTGGTATCCGACGCCGTGCTGTTTCTTTGCAGTTTCGGGTCGCCGTTTTTTTGTCGTGTCCGCCCTCGCCGGATGCCGCTTCCGTGCTGTCTCTTCGTCGTTTCCACCGCCGTTTCTGAGTCGTTTCTGGGCGCCGTTTCTCTGCCGTTTAAATTTTCAAGAAGTTCATTTTTCGACGCGGTGAAGAAACGGCCCTGCCGTTTCTGGGGCCCACTGAGTGCGCGCGTTCTTTCGAATTCTTGCGAGCGCGATAGGTTTTCCACATTTTTGTCAAGTGCGACCGCATGGGCCTCTCGCGCGGGCATGTTGCGTTTATTTTAAGACATGAGGTTTCAAGAGCGCCTCGCAAGTGGTAGGGCGAAGTGCACGCCCGCGCGTCGTCGCGCGCGCGTGGCGGAATCCTTCAAACATATTGAGTGTCTGAAAGATCTCAACGTCGAATGCCCCGAACACATTTTAAGATCGCATGATTTTGCAACGTCAGTTGTCAGGATGAAGGATGCGCGCGCTCATTCGAATTCTTGAGAAACCATCGTTTTCTCAACCCTTTCACCAAATGCTACCAAACTCGCCTCTTGCGCGCGAATGTCGGAATCATCCGAACGCCCTTGCGCGCGTGCTGGCGATGGTGGTGGGGGGCGCGATCCCGGTCAAATGACGCCGTGCCGTCCACTCGCGCGCGTCGGCCGCGCGCGCATGTCGAACTCTTTCCAATTTCTTCGTCCCTGACGCGAGGACACCGTCATCGATATCGGCGTGATCAGCATCGGCGCCGTCCTTGCCCTTGCCGTCGTATGCCATCGTGGTCGCCCGCATCGCTACTACTGTCATGATCATCATCAGTATCATCGTCTCTGTCGCTTTTGACGTCGCCATGATGCCGCGCCCGCGCCAGTTGCCGACTTGCACCCGGCGCGGCCGCGCGTCGGCGCGGCTTGCAAGACGCGCTGGGGAGTTCCCAGCGGTCAGCGCCGCCGCCGCCGCGTCGTTCGCGCCAATATAGCTGCCGCTTCGAGCGCGAGCGCCTGCGGGCTGGCCAGGCCGCAGAGATGCACCAGCCAAAGCCAAGCACTCATCGCAACCGCGGCTACATGGGTTTTGCAGGCCAAGTTGCGGGTGGGTGCGCGGGATGATCTCGCGAGCGTGGGAGGTGGTCGCGCGCGAGGAAGTCAAGCAGCTTGCGCCGCATCATTTGCGCTTCAAAGATTGCGCATCACAGAATGCACAACGTATACTGCGCCGCGCAGATTGCGCCGCGGCGATTGCACCGCATAGATTGCACCGCGTACAGTGCACCACATAGATTGCGCCGCATATCTTGCACCGATTGCGCCGCATAGATTGCGCGCCGCGCAGAGTGCACCACGTAGCCTGTGCCGCATATTGTGCGCAATGTGGGTTGCACCAGATTTTGTTCTTTTGTGAAAGAGTAGTGGGATCTATCTGCCCCCCCGCCCCCCCCCAGACTTAGCGCGTCATTTTTGGTGTTGCAATTTGCATGTGTTTCTGCCCCGTCGTCCACCCTAAATTTGAACACGTCTTGCGCCTGGCAAACCTTTATCGTCCCCGATTCTCCCTTTCAGAACATGATGTATGCGCGCGCGCTCGTTTATCAAATGTGTTTTTGCCGCGAATCTGACGACGTGCAGGCGCGCGCGTCGTCGCGCGCGCATGCCGAAATCTTTCAAACAACTATAGGTTCCGTCAGGATTTCAAAGTCGTGTGCCCGGCAAACATATAAAGGACAATGGTTTCGCAACAGGGGCTTTCAAAACAAAGCTTGTGCTCGCGCTCTTGCGAATCTTGCAAACAGTTTAAGCGCGTGCTGCCAAACGTGACTCGCGCGCGCGTGTCGGAGTCGCTCGCCCGCTCTTGCGCTCGTGCTGTCGCGCAAATCCTTTGCAACGTATGGGGCCAAGTGCACGCGCGCGCGCGCCATCGCGCGCGCGTGCCGAAATTCTACAACCACCTCAGATTTCGCATGGATTTCAAAATTAAGTGCCCCGACAGATGCTGGAACGCATGGTTTTGCAACGTCAGTTTTTCAAAAAAGCCGGCGCTCGCGCTCTGGCCAAGTCTGGAGAAAACCATGGGCTGTCCAACATTTTCTTCACATTCTGCCAATGGGCCTCTCGCGCCGCAGGTCGAAGTCATTCGAACGCCTTTGCGCGCGTGCTGGGGGGCGCGATCCCAGCCAAATAGTTCCATGCGGGCCACTCGCGCGCGTCGGCCGCGCGCGCGTGTCGAAGTCCTTCCAAAACCTCCATCACCGACGCGAGGGCTCCATCAACGTCGTCGGCGCAATTGGCATCGGCGCCGTCACTTGCCTTGCCGTCGTCGTTTTCACCATCGTCGCCAGCATCCCTGCTATCATCGTCGCGTCTACCATTGTCGCCGTTGCCATGATACCGCGCCCGCCCAAATCACCGACTCACACTGAAGTGCCCGCTGGTAAGTGCCTAGCGGTCAGCGCCGCCGCGGCCACGTCGGTCGTGCCAAACTAGCTGGCCAGTGCGCGCGAGGATGCGCGGGCTAGCGCGGCCGCAGAGATGCACCACCCAACGCCAAGTACTCGTCCCAATTGCCGCCTCAAGGGTTTTACAAACCAAGTTGCGGATGGGTGTTTGGGATGATTGCGCGAGCAGTGGAGTTGGCAATTCAGTGCGAACAATATTTACTTGCCCGCATATGTTGCACCGCGCAAACTGCACCACATAGATTGCTCCACTCATATTGCACAATACATGTTGCAAAACATATATTGCGCACCACATGTAGCACAACCTGCATGGCACCACGTACATTGCATGATTGTTGCAACCGGAATGCGCACCGTACGCTGCCAGAAACGCTGCTTAGGGGCCCGCGTTGGATAAACCAGTTTTTTTTATCAATCTTTGGCGACAGAAAAACATTGCATGGCACGCGCGCGCGCCACCGCTCGTGCGCGTCATAAGCATTCAAGTATTCCTCATCCCAGCAAATCGAAACGTTGCTAGTGACAAACTATCAAGCATTTTTTGCTTTCCAGCCAGAATTTGCCAGAATCCTGCGCGCGCGCTCGCTGAACTTTACGGAAACCATGTGTTTATACATCGGTTGTTCGATCAGACTATCCAGGCCGTTCGCGCGCGCATGTCGACAACGTTTGAACACCATCGCGCGTCCACCGACCCTGCAAAATAACATGCGGGGCACTCGCGCACGTTTCCGCGCGCGTGCGTCGACATCATGTCAGGATGTCTTGGTTCCTGCATGCGCGCACTTTCCCATCACTGTCATCAACGCAGTAGTAACATGTTGGGTCACAGTATGCTTGGCGGGGGGGCATCCGATCACCTCGCGCGATTCTGCAGTCCCGGGAAGCGGACTTCGGCGGCTTGGGGGCTTCTGGGGGGCGCCTCGAAGGCCCTGGTGGGCTCTCGGGGCCATCTCGGGGGGAGAGGCTCGACATGTCAGTTCGTATTCCCCCTCTTTGGTCCCTTCCTGGGACTCTCTTGGGCCTCTCTTGGGCCGTCGTGGGGACTCTCTTGGGTCGTTTTGTGCCCTCTTGGGAGTCTCAGGGGCCGTGTTGGGACGATATTGGGGGCCCCTTGGGACGTCTTGGATTCTGTCCGAGCGGAAAAAAAACGACTATGCTTACATGGTTCCCGACGGAAGAGTGACGATTTTTGCTCATTGAGGCACTCTCGGCGATCTTCTGGGAACACTCTTGGAGCGTCTTGGGGGCCTCGTGGGCGGTCTCGAAGCCATCTTGGACCGTCGTGGGGCTGCATGGGGCCGTCTTGACGCTCTTCTGGATTATTCTCGCGCTCTGCTTGGGTCCGCTTGGGCCGGTCCCGGGGCTTTTCGGAGGCCACGGAGGCTCCAGGGGGGTGCGTAAACCAGCTCGCCTCCCCCCTCCTCGGGGGCGGCAAAGAGGGGGGTGATGACGAGGGGGGGGGGGTGGATATCATGGCGGGGGCCATGATATTTCCCCAGATTTCATGGCGCCTCTTCTTGTTTCATTACGTCCCTGGCCCCCCCGCTGGGCCGCGCACATGCCGCCGGTCATGATTTGCACCCCCCCCCTCTTGGACACCCCCCTCTTTGCCGCTCCCGACCTCCCTCCCCCCTCAAACGCCACTCTAGGCCCTGGGGGAGGGGGAAAAGGGGGATAGGGGGACAGCCAGTCCTCTCATACGCCTTGTCACCCCCAGCCAGCGAGGACCGGCGGATTCTCGGAACTGGCAGCGCTTTGCAGGAGTCGCTCCGAGGGACCGAAACGTGTTCAGAGTTTTCCATCTGCCCCCAACGCCTCCTTTTCCAAAGGGCAGCCTAATAAGGACAGCTAAATGGAAGTAGGCACTGGGGAAGCGATAGAAAGAGAGAGAGAGACAACTATGTACATACGCGGAGCAACAAAAGGAAACAGCGCAGGGTGATCTTTTTTGTTGGATTTCCCTTCCCCCATTCTCGCGTCCGTCACCAGCACAGGGGAGACGACAGTGAGACACGGGTACGATGGCAAGGCAGAAGGTGCATTTTGTTTGGGATGCAGCAGTTCTCTAATTGTGATCCCCCTTGTCACGCAAGGGGCCAATGTGTAAGCGCATACTACTGGTTCTATGCGAAAATCTTAGACCGCAGAAGAAGACTCTGTGTTAAATGATCCCAGGTTCTATTGCCTGGGCTTCTTCCTGGTGGTCGCTGTTGTCGTGATTTTTCTGAACTCGCCTACTGAGGACGAGCAGGCAGAGGACTCGGCGCAGCACCAAGCCCACGGTGAATCCTGTCGGCTGGTGTCCCATAAGGCGCCACCCGCTATAAGCGCCAGGAAGCGAGCCTTAGTCAGGACAAGCCTGTGGGTAATGTTTGCCCTGTGCTGCGTCTTCTGTGTTCTGGGCATGACGCAGCCGCTCGTGAAGACGAAGTTCGAGACCCCCGAGACGGAGTGGGTACAGGCTGAGGGCACGGTGGTGCAGAGCAGCACCTCCCCAGGTCCTCTTAAGGGCAACCACGAGCATGTGGCTTCAGGCGAGTCCTACACAGATCTGATCGCGAGTCTCTACGACAAGCGGTTGCCTTGCTCGGCCATGGTCGTAATCTTCAACACTGTCATCAGGACACCCATGCAGCTAGGCAGCTTTCTCGCAGTGATGCTGCGCCCGTCCTTCGTGCCGGCCAGACTGCTGCAGAGCCTGCAGCAGGCGTTCATCGTGGACCAGGCGCCTGGCTGGTTCGTGGGCCCCATGGTCTTGGTGCTGATCGTCGGCTTCATCAACCAGACTGGGCCTGGGCACTCCCTCTTCGAGGCCGGCTTTGCCGTTGGTTTTCTCGAAGCTATGCGTGCTGCTTGTGCTCCGCTGTCTTTGGGAGCATTAGCCATTCCCTCCTCCTCCCTCCTCCCTCCTCCCTTCTCCTCCCTCCTCCTCCTCCCTCCTCCTGCTCCCTCCTCCTCCTCCTCCTCCTCCTCCTCCTCGAGGCCGGCTTTGCCGTTGGCTTCTGGTTCTTCCTGGCCTTCTCGACGCTGTCCGTGCTGATCGCGTGGACCTTCCAGGCCTTCCCGCAGGTGGGCGCGGGCGCGCAGGGCAGCAGCGGCGGCGAGGAGGGTCCGCGCCCCTGGCCGCCGGCGCACAGGCGCGTCGTCCAGGGGAGCCCGACCAGGGAGTTCTCGTCGGATACGCTCACGTCCACGGACTCGGACTCCGACGGCTCGGGGCCCAGGACGACGCGGAGGTCGGGAGGGAGAGAGCCAGGGCTCGAGCCCCAAACGGTGTTTTCTTGAGCGATCTCGTGGATCTTTTGCCTTCGTGTCGATCTCGCTCCGGAGCACTCTTCGGGCCCCCGTGGTTCTCGTGCCCCGTTTTCTTCGGTCGGGTCCCTCGCTCGGCGTTGTCTGGGTCCTGGGTTTCCGTCCCTCGCTTCTTTCGGCCCCTTCCTCGGGTCCCTCGCTCGTCGTTTCGGCGCCACGGGCAGGAGTGTTCGGCAGACGATCACCCGCGAGCAAATCAACAAAAAAAAAAGCGAGGCGGCATGAGCTCCTGGCAGGTCCCCCGAAGGAGCTCTGGGAGCTCTCGAGAGGGGCTTCTGGGCGGGCAGAGCGATCACGAGAGACACTGCTCAGCTCGAGCCCCGGGGAGAGCCGTGCCCCCCTGCCTGGAAGAGGAAGAGGAGGAGGAGGAGGAGGAGGAGGAGGAGGAGGAGGAGGAGG